GGTTGAGCTAACCAGATTTTTAATGATTCAAATTATTGTCTTAACTTCTATTACTGAATAATCTATGTTACTTCTGCTCAGTGAATCCAACAACTATTGTGTTTTTTTACTAAAATAAAAATTAAGGAGCTAGAGATTAGAGAAGGATAATGAATCCCTTCTATGTTTTTTTTTTAAATTTATTTTAAACCCATTTAAATTTATATTTAACTGTAATTTTTTTAAATACCGAACATATTTGAGAAAATAATAATAAATTCCAACCATGACAGTTCTTGTCAACTACAACACTTCCAAATTTAAAAATAATAAAAATTTAAAAGTGGAATCAATCTTTCTTTCTTATTCATAATCATCACAATTCTTTTTCTGAGGAGTAGAGTCTGGGATCAGTGGATGCCCATAGTAACAGAGCCCGCAGTATTCTTACTTGCTAGTTGCTATAAAAGAGATAATGCCCATTTTATATACTTCTACTTGGAGGGAATCAATATTAAACATTAAATTTTAAATGCAAGGTCTGCAAAAACACGAGCTGTTAGAGATTATCACATCATTATTATATAAATGTAAAATCATGAAGTTTACACCTCTGATATTACTAGTAAGGAGTTCCTGCATTTCTAAAACTCTCTCTCTCTCTAATAGCTTCAAACCTTCAATTAAATCCTGAGAAGTGGTTATATTTAAGTTTGGTTTCTAGTAATTATTGGTTCAAACCCTATAAATCTTAAGATTGTTGAAAATTTATATTGTTGTTAATTTTAGAACTCGTTAACGATTAATTCTGATAGAGTTAATTTACAGAGCATGCATATAATAATAGCTGTCCATGACTTCGTGACATGGATTCCTGACAGTGATGATATTATAATACTCTACAGAGAATTCCTGACAACCACAGCAGATACGTCTTGATCATCAACAATAAATTACCATTGTTTCGCGTTTTCTTTTCTCCGGTAAGGAAAAGATGTCTTCGCATCCACTTATACCAGGGAAGTTAAAAAAAAAATCGTCTAGCCTGTAAAAGTTAAATAATATAAATATTATAGATGATAATAAATATATAAAAATTAAGATAAAATATTATGAATTAAGTGGCAGGTCGAAATTGTTAAAACTTTGTCAACCTAGCTCAATTTCTGTATCCTATACAACTCATTGGTTGTTATAACTAAATTGATTTTTTCATTCTAGGCACAATATATTTATAATATGTATAAAAAAGGAAAAAAGGTAGGCCGTTCGGATCAAACTTTCTCTTAAATAGATTTAGTTTATAATTTTTATTTAAGATAATCCATAATTACGTCAAAAAAGACAAGGAAAAGGCAAAAACAAAGACGAGTGGAATTGCCTGTTACAAACAAAGACAAGACAGCCGAGGTCAAGCAAAAGCTTGACTCTTACAACCACACTAGAAGTTAAACCTTTGACAACTCCGCTTACAAAAATTAAATTAAAATAAATTTATATAAAAAATATGCTAAAGGATCACTATATATCACACACCTGCTATTGCTCTTTCATTGCAAGAAGCTCCCTACCTTCCTTGTTCTCTCTATATATAGATTGATAAAGATTTCTTGGTAAGTTCTCTTAAGTCCATGGTATATCTAACTTTCTTTCGTTTCTCTGTTTTTTCTTGTAAGAAAGATTGTGGCCTGGAAACTTACATTTTTTAAAGTTCAAGAATCTCAAGGTTTGATTGTATAGCTTTTCTCATTTTTTACTCTTTGATATTATATGTGTTGATGCTGGATTTTAGAAGGTTTAGTTGTTCATCAGTTCATGGATTTTGGTGAAGGGTTCGCGGAGTGTATGTGAGTGTTACAGTGGTTTTTCAAAATATTTTTTGTTTAAAAATATATTAATTTTTTTTAATTGTTAAGATTTATTTTTGATAATAGTATATTAAAATAATTCAAAAATATAAAAAAATAATTAAGTTTATATAAAAAAATAAATTTCGGTCAACTTCCATTTAAGCTGTACTCTGAAACAAGGAGCTATGAGGAGAGAAGCCTTTTTTTCTGGGTTGATGCTATATATTTTTTTGGTTTAGAATATTTGTTTTTGTGGGTGCACAGTGTCCCAAATGAAACTTGGAGTTCCTGAATCACTTCCTTATAAACTAAATTGTGTTCTGGTGAATTGTTCAAATGGTTGCTGTATCTGCTATTTTTTCTGTACAGGTTTGTCCTTTTTAGCTTTTTTTTTTTTTTTGTTGATCACTCCATGTGTTCTATGCTTGTGCAGTAACCGGAACAAAAAATGGCAGAGGAGAAGGGTTCAATTTCCAAAGACGTTACTGAAGTAAGTTGACTCCATTGCCATTTCAAAAATTGTTGAATTTGTTCCTGAGGTGTTTTGATATGGGAGCCCTGGCTTATATATTCTTTTGTACGTGGTCTAATATAGCTTATTGGTAAAACACCATTGGTGTATCTCAACAATGTTGTGGATGGTTGTGTGGCCCGTATTGCTGCAAAGCTGGAGATGATGGAACCTTGCTCAAGTGTCAAAGATAGGTATTAGTTAGATTTCTGTTGTTGTTTGTTGGAAAGTTGAGATATGCTTTATTTATTAACTTGGCTATGATCAGGTTTATTTGGTTGCCAAGGCCGAAAATCTTCCTTCGCTGTCGAAATTTAATATGTTTCTGTTTATGGGTAATTCAAATGTGTTTCTGAATCCAATGATGGAATTGGATTTGCTCAAAAAGTAACAATGGGGCCTTTAGAACATCGTCATTAATGAGATTTTGGTTTGCTTAGCTTGATATATTATGATATTCTTCTTGTCTTTTTTCCCTTGTTTGTAGGATTGGGTATAGTATGATCACAGATGCAGAGGAGAAGGGTCTAATCAAGCCGGGTGAGGTTGGTGATTCAATCCTAATTGATCAGATAGGATACATGAATTTTAAGTCCAATTTAGGTTGTTTTGCTTTGAAATTGAGTGATATGTTATCTATAGCTATTGAAAATTGATCAATACATGTCTTGGCTTAAGACATCATTGCATCAGAAAATCATTTTCCGCTGGCAGATATGATACAATAATGGATATTTAATTATTAGTTGCCAAGCCTTGTAATGACCTAGTCCAGACATTGACAGTCAACTGATCCGTTTTCTGTTCATTGCATAGAAAATAGCGTGAATGTCATTACAAAGGAACTTGCGTGTTGACATGGTTTTCTTTCTTAATGCTGAAGAGTGTCCTGATTGAGCCTACGAGTGGCAACACTGGCATAGGGCTGGCATTCATGGCAGCTGCTAAGGGCTACAGACTGATCATTACCATGCCTGCTTCAATGAGTCTAGAGAGAAGAATGGTTCTCCTTGCTTTTGGAGCTGAGTTGATCCTTACTGATCCTGACAGGGGCATGAAGGGGGCTGTTCAGAAGGCTGAAGAGATATTGGCAAAGACTCCTAATGCTTATATTCTGCAACAATTTGAAAATCCTGCCAACCCAAAGGTGCCATTTGTTTTCATTTTGCACGTTTTCTGACTTTCTGATTTGAGAGAATTACAATCATACTGATGTTCCCTCGTCAGATTCACTACGAGACAACTGGACCAGAGATTTGGAAAGGGTCAGGTGGGAAAGTTGATGCCTTTGTTTCTGGGATAGGGACTGGGGGAACAATAACAGGTGCAGGGAAGTATCTCAAGGAACAAAACCCTGATATAAAGGTTCACTTCTCCGCATTGCTTGATTTGGAATGGAAGTCTTTTTTTCTTCTTTGGTATTGATAGTTTCTTTATTGTTTCTTATCTTGGCGTTTATTCTTTCCTTTTCGTGTTTAGATTTATGGTGTAGAACCAGTTGAAAGTGCAGTGCTATCTGGAGGGAAACCTGGTCCCCATAAGATCCAGGGAATTGGCGCTGGCTTCATCCCTGGAGTTTTGGATGTCGGTTTACTTGACGAAACTGTTCAAGTAAGTCTGTGCTCTCTTACATAATTTCCAAAACGTATTGCTAAAACTCCATCATATACAAATCCAGGTTCCTCAAGTCTAATCTTTGTCGCATGCTCTGATTTATTCCTTGAGAGAAAATACCGTTTGTTTTTTGTTTCTTCATTTTCATTGCCTTACTGCACTCGTACCTCAGAGACTTGATCGTTACATGACTTTGCAGATATCAAGTGAAGAAGCCATTGAAACTGCAAAGCTTCTTGCCTTGAAAGAAGGATTGCTGGTAAGCTTACAATTATTTGATATTTGTTGCGAGAAGGAACCCGGAACTGTACAGCACTCCACTCTGTTAACTGGATCATATTTTCTGGGTTTGACTTTAATCAAGAATTCTTTTGAGGGCATCATGTGGATTTCAGGTGGGGATATCATCTGGAGCTGCTGGAGCTGCTGCCATTGAGATAGCAAAGAGGCCTGAAAATGCTGGAAAGCTCATTGTTGTAAGTTTGATTCTCTTCCTTTTGAAGTAGATCCATCGGCAACTTGCTAGTGACCTGCTGTCCAAAGCTACCCCGTAGACGAAACAATTTTTTTTCCAAACAGTAAAGTTCATAGCCAATCTAGCAACCATTTCCCTTGATATTTTTGTTGATGAAATTATCCACTCAAATAATGAATGTTCCTGAACGATTATAGGTGATAGAAAATCTTCAAGCACGGTAATAGTGATGACATGTACCATATTCTATGGCAAAGCTTAGCAGCATTGCGTTTAGCACATGCCGTATCTTTTTGAATACCTTCTAGTGCTTGGCCTTTGTTGGTGTTTTGTTCTGAGCGTCTTACCATTCTTTCTAATGTAAACCTGACCAAACTAAAATCTTGAAGCTCGTCTTTCTGAACTGAGTCTCTTACAATTCTTTTTAATGTAAACAGGTGATCTTCCCTAGCTTTGGGGAGCGTTACCTATCCTCCGTGCTTTTCGAATCCGTGAAGGAGGAGGCGGAGAACATGGTTTTTGTGCCTTGAGGTGGAGAGCATGGTTTTTGTGCCTTGAGGTGGAGAGCATGGTTTTTGTGCCTTGAGGTGGAGAGCATGGTTTTTGTGCCTTGAGGTGGAGAGCATGGCTTATATGAGCCTGATGCGGAGGCTTTTCTGCTCTGTGTATCTGTATTAACAAAGGGCTTGTGGGATGGATCAAGAAACTTCAATCATAGTGTTGTGAGATCAAACAAAGTCCCGTTGACAGTATATTGTGTTATTAAAAACTATGCAATTGTTGAGTTCAATTGGATGCAATGAATATATATTGCTAAAATATAAACATGTGAATCGCCATCAGAATGCTTTTCAAGCAGCAGAATAATTTCAAGCAGAGCGCTAAAAATTAGAACGTGTTGTGGGTTGGTGAAATAAATTTTATGTATAAAAAAAGAATGAGTTAATTAGGTAAATCAGCCAATATGCAATTTGGATCTTGAGTTTTCTTATTTTCATTGAATTTAATATATTTTATTTTAAAATTCATTTTCCTCCTAGGCTCGAAGCCCGTGGTGTTTTTAATTGTTATAAATTTCAACCATGAAAATCCCAAAATATAATAAATAAATATAAACATCAAATCAATTTCTTCTTTTATTCATAATTATTATAATTCTTTATCTGCGGAGACGAATCTGGGATCGATGGATGCCCATAGTAACCAGGCTCCCAGTTGCTATTTAAGAGATATTGCCATACTTTAAGGTAATCAATATTAATTATTAAAATTTAAATACTAGTCTGCCAAAAACAAAGAGAGAAAGAAGCCGTTAAGCATCATCACATCCCAAAAAACACACATATTATATATGCTTCTATGATCAACGCACCATCGACTCTACATGCTTTGAGCCTCAGTAAACATCTCCAGCTGCAAGCACAATACCGACGACGTTTCAGATTTGAAAGATTCGTAGCGAAATGTTTGGTGTTAGAATTGGACAGGGGCCGCGACTTGCGCAGCCCCCTCTAC